ATGAAAGCTCTCTTCCGTTGTTCTTTGAATTCTGAATTCATTTGATGATTTTATCTCCACCCCAGAAACTGTTTTCATCTCATTTTCATGCTCCCCGAGACCTAGTGCGGCGAAAGAATTACAAGGTCAATCAAGTGTTTCTACAAGACCTGCCCACAAATTTAAAGGTAGTTGTCATGTCCTGTGCTCTCTTTCTTTTGAAAGATCAAATTGGTGTTACCCAAGTGCCCCCTTGCACCCATTCTTCCATGCGGTCAGAGGGGAGGTATTTCAACTGCTGAGGAATCTATTCATGCTAACCGAATCTCACTGCCCTCTTGCTTGACCATTTCACATGACAGGTCATGGGCTCATGTGGGTCAACAGCCGACAGGTTAGAAAGCGGACAATGTGGGCATGCACATATGCCATCATATTTGGCAAAACATGGGGTATTTATTTAACAAATCAATAGTTGCCGTTCATTCTTACTAGATCCTGGAAAAGAGAGCATCAGATGCAGTCAATGGAAGGTAATCAACAGTGTTGTCGATTGTCCTTGTCCTCAACTGTACTAAGATGTAGCAGCTCGTAACGGGATCAAATGGAAAGCAATAAAGATAAGACCAAAAATTTAAATGTAACTTCATATGTGTAAAAGGACAATATTGGTACTTTGACAGAGAATGACACAGTCCTACCGCAGACAAAAGCACTGCAATTGTTGAATATGCTACGCCCATCTCTAAATAAATGAAAGTAAGATGAAATGAATCGAATAAGAAATAATGTGCGTGTGTGGATAAAATTTTGTAGTGTTATCCTTTTTATTTTGGAACTTTTTGAAGATGTAAGAAACAGTCAAAGACTGATGTATTTAAAAGGGAAGAACAGTAGTAATATAATCATGAGAGTAACATTTATGACTTGAGCTTGGTTCAGTGCAAGGATGTGTAGATTCTGGACTGGGGAACAGAAGGTTAACCTTTTTTGAGGGATAAAAAAAGGGTGTATGGGAGTGTATGTGTTTATATTACACTTTCCCAAACAAGAATAAGATAACTACTTGCATCACCTCCTTCCCATCGTTTTCTTGTACTTCCAGCATCAAGGCTATTCGGCTGAAACCTGAAAGCTAAGTAAGAATATCTGTCTATCTTTCTTGTTTTAGCTTTCTGGAAAAGTAAAAATAAGAAGTATCACAAATGGCAAAGTTATATCCTCACTTCCATGTGTTAGATTAGCCATCTTTGCTAGACCTATGATTCTCTGCTACATTCCACATAGAAACGGATAGTTTTAAGACAAAGCAAGGGGCTTGAATAAGAATTCAAAATGGGATTTGTATATGAACGGTTTGCGTGAATATCATTTATATTTAGATAACCTTTTTACAAAATGAAAATTAGCAACAAAAAACACGAGTAGATGAAATGAATGTTCTTTGGATGAAAATTGAGCAATTATAAAAATAAAGCAAAATACCTTGCATGGTGTCAATATAATAATTTTTGTTCATGAAACGACTAGTTTGAAATGACTTCCGAGTTCCGAGTGTTATGAGTAAATTTGTAATCGGTTCATTAGGTACCCATCCAATAATATTTTGAAACCCACCCCTAAAAAACGAGTTTTAAAATCTTTCCAACAAGATAGAAAATGTTTGAGTCGTGTTGATTAATCTATACCCTTTGCAGCATTTTTCATGGCACAGAGATAATGCCTGCTACCTTGGATCTCTTTCTATCCAATCAAATGTGTATTACTATTGCTACTTCATTGTTTTAGATTTACCATGTTACTTCAAATTTTCAAATTGTAAATGGGTTTGCAAATAGGCTTGGCCGCTTGGTTGATCCCTATTTAATTTTTTGTCCATTCCAAATAGGCGATATTATGTCAATATCCGGTGTTGGGAGCCCGTGTTCATTTTTTTGGATGTTTTTTCTAATGACAGTGAACCTCGATAGATTATCCTTGTTTAATCCCATTTTTATCCTTTCCTTTGAATTGGAAACCACGGTTGAAGTTTGTTTAGAATAGATATAATTATTTAAACAATATGAACTACGATGTTTAATCTATCCATGAAAAAAAGAGAATGACTATAAAAAGGATTGGGTCAAGGATGGACTGGGATGGGTCGGCCTGGCCCGGTACTGTGCAGACCCGACCCGGCCGCCGGGCGGTACCGAGATTGGGAGCCTGAACCGGGTATGGGGGGGGCACGTTACGGGACTTCAAATGAGGTGACCGGCCCGGCCGGTCCAGGCCTCAACGGCTATATTAAAAAAAATTGTTTGAAAATGTTGTTGGCTTGTGATCATTGCCAAACGGCTCTGGATCTAATGGAGGGGGGCGGGGTACAAAAAATCTATAAATACTCCTTTTTTCTAAACATTTTCCTACACTTATTCTTCAATTCTTCCTACTCTCTAATACTCTCTAATCATCTCCATCTTCATCTTCTCCAATTCTCGCTACACCTATTAATATATATATCATATCTATTTAAATTAGTTATATCTACTTATATATTTATAATCTACCTATAAATACATATATTACATCTACTTATATTTATTATCTACTTAATATATACTTATTATTAAGATGGAAGGAGGTAGACATTCAAAAAAATCGGAGATTTTGAAATTCGGTTCATTAGGTAACCATTCCGTAATATTTTGAAACTGACACCTTAGGGTGCGTTCGGTAACGTTTCTGTTTTTCGGTTTCTATTTTTTTTCTTAGAAAAAAAAAACAGAAACACGTTTGGTGAAAAGTTGTTTTTGTTTCCAAAATCATAATCTTTGCAAGTGTTTTTAGAAAACGAAAACATAATTCTGAAATCAACAAAACATAGTTTCTATAAATTTGTTATCATTTATCTTCAATACCCAACTACCAGGACACAGCCGGCCACCATCGGACCACTACCGGACCACCACCGGACCATCACCGGCCACCACCGGACCACCACCGCTCACCACCGGACCACCACCGGCCACCACCGGACCACCACCGGCCACCACCGGCCACCACCGCACCACCACTGGCCACCACCTGACCACCACCGGACCACCACCGGCCCACCACATGGAATGACAAAATTGAAAATGAATTAGCACTAAAACAAAACGATTTCAAAAAACTAAGAATAGACAACTAAAAACAGTTTTTTGTTTTTTTAAAACCAAAAATAGAAAACTCAAAACTATACCGAACGAGCCCTAAAAAACGAGTTTTAGAATTCAATAAGATCTTTCCAACGAGATAGAAAAGGTTTGAGTCGTGTTGATTAATCTATACCCTTTGCATCATTTTCATGGCACAGAGATAATGTCTACTACCTTGGATCTCTTTCTATCCAATCAAATGTGTATTACTATTGCTACTTCATTGTTTTAGACTTACCATGTTACTTCACATTTTCAAATTGTAAATGGGTTTGCAAATAGGCTTGGTTGGTCCCTATTTAATTTTTTGTCCATTCCAAATAGGCGATATTACGTCAATATCCGGTGCTGGGAGCCCGAGTTCATTTTTTGGATCTTTTTTTCAAATGATCGTGAACCTCGATAGATTATCCTTGTTTAATCCCATTTTTATCCTTTCATTTGAATTGGAAACCACTATTGAAGTTTGTTTAGAATAGATATAATTACTTAAACAATATGAACTACGATGTTTAATCTATCCTTGAAAAAGAGAATGACTATAAAAAGACAATATAGAAGTACAACATGTATGGTTTGCCTATTATTTCCTTTTCTTAAGATTGGGTTAGGGATGAACTAAGACGGGTCGGCCTAGCCCGGTACTGTGCAGACCCGACCCGACCGCCGAGTGGTACCGGGATTGGAGGCCTGAACCGGGTATTGGGGGGGGGGGGGGGGGGGGGGGGGGGGGGGACAGGTTACGGGACTTCAAATGGGGTGACCGGCGCGGCCGGTCCGGGCCTCAATGGCTATATTAAAAAAGATGTTTGAAAATGTTGTCGGCTTGTGATCATTACCCAACGGCTCTGGATCTATTGGAGGGGGACGGGGGTACAAAAAATCTATAAATTCTCCTATTTTCTGAACATTTTCCTACACTTATTCTCCAATTCTTCCTACTCTCTAATCATCTCCATCTTCATCTTCTCCAATTCTCTCTACACCTATTAATACATTATATCTACTTATATACTCGTATTTATTATCTACTTATATTTAAATTAGTTATATCTACTTATATACTCGTATTTATTATCTACTTATTAATACATATATTACATCTACTTATATATACTTATTATTAAGATGGAAGGAGGTAGACATTCCGTAGATATGGGTAACCTTCAACGGAACCGAAAGGAAATTGCGAGGAACCATCCTAATTCGCGAGGCAAAGGTAAAAGACATGCCGGGTCTTCTTTTCAAAGTCAAGATGATTTTGACACAAATCATGACCGGAGATATGCGATGTACGAGGAAACACCCGAACAGGCACAAGGCGATCAACAAAACCTGACGATGAAACACCCGACGGGGATGAGAAAGGTCAATCTCTCCTTATGAAAAATAATTACACAGAATTGAAGGAAATGACAAGCGAGAATCGGTGAACAACTTGCTACCATTGTAACAAAAAAATTAGTTTGGGAATTTCGCATGGATACAGAGGCGCTGATAGGCATTTGAAGGTAAAACACCCTATCGAGTATGCAAAACTAAAAGTCAAGGAGACACAAAGTATTTTTTTCCACTTTTTAAAATAAGCTACGTAGTATTAACTATATTATCAATTGTACTTCATATTTCAATAAATATGCATTGATTTTTTTTGCAACGCCCGTGAATTAGGGAAAAATATTAATAGTCCCGACCCGGTTTGAACCCGACCCAAAGTTCGACCGGGTAGCCCGAACCGGACCGGTCCCGGTATATAACCGGGCCGGTACTGGGCCTGCATCCCAAACTCCCAGTCCGGCCCGGTCCATCCCTAGATTGGACTATTTGAGCTTGGTAACCCGTAAGCTTTGTCTTAATTTTCTCCTTCCTTACTATAATAAGTGATATTTATCCGAACCCTTTTCTCATCCAGCCGCAGACTCCCCCAGCGGCTTTCCCAAATCTTCCCGGCAGGTAAGCGATGACGACGCACTTGAAGAAGAACAGGAAGAAGAGAGGCCATGTGAGCGCCGGCCATGGCCGTATCGGGAAGCACCGGAAGCATCCATCGGGTCGCGGTAACGCCGGAGGAATGCACCACCATCGGATTCTCTTCGACAAGTACCATCCTGGATACTTTGGAAAGGTCGGTATGAGGTATTTCCATAAGCTCCGGAACAAGTTCTACTGCCCTACCCTCAACATCGATAAGCTCTGGTCACTCGTCCCTGAGGAAGTCAGATCCAAAGCCTCCAAGGACAAAGTTCCGATGATTGACGTCACGCAATTCGGATACTTTAAGCTCCTGGGTAAGGGCGTGCTCCCGAGCAACCAGCCTGTTGTGGTGAAAGCCAAGCTTGTGTCGAAGATTGCGGAGAAGAAGATCAAGGAGGCAGGTGGGGCTGTTCTTCTTACAGCTTAGATTCGTTTCAATTCCTTTGAGTTATTATTATTATATGTTGTCTTGGTCGTTACAAGCTTTATGTTTTTTGACCTCTTTGGGAAAATGTATGAAATTGTAGAACACATTTGCTACAATTTGCCCACATTTTGGAGTTTAATCTGCAATATTATCATGTTTACATGCTTATAGTTGATTTCTGGGATGATTGTTCATTTGGTTCCACTTGATCATTAGCATGCCAGTAATAAATTATGTTTGGAATTTGAGGGGAAAAAAGTAATCTTATTTTTCTTATAATTTTCTATTACCATTGTCTTCCATATGTCAACATTCAACAAAACATATCCATAAAATTACGAAAACATATTCATAAAACCTCAAAGCCTTAGTAGTATTCCTTCTTTTCAAAGATCTTAATTTTTGGATGGAGTAGCGTTTATGATTAGTAGAGTGCATTACAAAAAAACATAGAAACAGATCTCCCCCCCCCCCCCCCCCCCCCCAATTTCCCAGTCTTTAACACTCTGCTACAGTAAGCCAACTTGTATTGTGTGCCATTCATTCATCCTCTCATGCATGATTGTGTCTGCCAGCAGTACCATGACCATAAATGAACCTTGCACTGCCTTCTGTATAAACATGACTCTCATTGTCCAATCTACAACATCCATTTCAATTGAGCATTAGTTTACTAACAACTATCACCCAAAAAAGTAATGTTGAATTGCGATCGGCCGGGTTTTTAAATCGGAAACCAGAACGGTCGAATGGTCCTAAACTGTAACGTGTACACAGTTACTATCTAGTCCGGTTCCTCCAAAATAGGACAAAAACATATTGTTACTGATAACATTTTTTTTTGAGATCAAGAAATAACCCAACCTACACAAGTTATTCTACCTCAGCAGAGCCGAACTAGTATTACTGGTTCCTATCAAGGGGTACCAGAATTGGCTGATCTAGAACTAACTTGTGTACCCCCTAAGTCCCTAACAAGAAATTATAAAAGTAGGCATTAAGAATATAACAGAAACACAACCATGGTGTGAATAAAAGTATCCTTACGATCTTCGAACCGCTTTGCATAAAACTGATGCAGATGAGAATGTCTTGCCATCAAGATACTTGTTCTCCCCTTTCACCCTCTGAGTAATTCTCTTGTCTATTTCATCCACACTCACCTCAAATGGGGTGTCAGACGCCTGCCATTTTATGTCGTATTTCTCATAATTAGCCAACTTTTATGTAAGTATTTTTCTTAAGCGAAAATGGTGCATCCTAAAGAGGAATTAAGATAGTAACTAGTAAGTACCATAACCCATCCCCATGTGTCAGCATATGAAGGTATATGAGCAGAATAAGGCACCACATCTGCACATAAAAAATGATTTTTTCCATGATGAGATTTGGTTAATATGGCAAATATCAAGAATAAATGCTGGTTCTAACTGAACTCTAGAAAGAACTCTAGATTAAGAAGTCTTTAAATGCATATTTAGCTGAAATGAGATGACTCTCACAGTTGAAAACTTACATTTGAAAACCTGTTTGAGAGTATTGTAGATGCAAGAGAAAACCTCGGTGTGGCTAAAAATCCCAGCAGGTCCTGCCTGTAACATGTCAAGAGTATGATATTGAGATATTGCACAAACTCTAACTCTAAGTAAAAGATGATGAAAATATTTCAGTTTTAAAATAAAAGAAAAAAACAGGGGAAAACTGTCAAATAGGTCCTCGAACTTTCATAAAAAGGTCAATTAAGTCCTTCGATAGGAGGTTTTGTCCAGCCGTCGCGATTTGGGGCAGTTCTCGGTGTAATTTTTTTATGAAATTTTTTGAGCATCTTATTCACCAAGTCTAGTTTACTCATATCAAATTTCAGCTAAAAATTCAATCAGGAACTCATTCAAATTAATTCTTGAAGATAACTGCGCATTTTTGCATTCTCGAATTAATTTGAATGCGCTCCCGATTAAATACTTAGATGAAATTTGGTATGAGTAAACTAGACTTGATGAATAAGAGGCTCAAAAAATTTCATCAAAAAATTCCACCGGGAACCGCCCCAAATCGTGATGACCGGACAGAGTCTCCTATAGAAGAACTTAATTGATTTTTTTATGAAAATTCGAGGACCTATTTGACAGTTTTCCCAAAAAACAGATATGTGTGTGTAACACCTACCTGTGTGACAAATATGCCATTCTGATTGAGCCTTGGTTTGACAGTGGTTTCATAAAAGGACTGAGTGTAAAGTTGATAGCATGGACCTCCTTCAATGGGGTCTGCTAAGTCTCCAATGATCACATCATACAGCTCTCTGCACTTTTTAAGCTCTCCTCTGCACATGCCGTGCACAACACTTATTTTTTCAGGACAAAATTATTTTTTTTTTAAAAAGGACACAATCCACTATGAGCATGGGAGGAGGAAAAAACCTTGCATCATTGATAATAAGATCAAGTCTTGTGTCAGCGAAAGCTTCCTTGTTAACCACCAAATATGACTTGCAGAAGTCCACCACTTCCTGTAGCAATATATTGTTAAGTCTATCCACATGGTAGAGTATTGCTAAATCAGCATAAAAATCTCTTATCTACTCTTTTAATATCCCTTTGGTAACCTGTTTAGTGGCTTATCATCCTCTTTTTCCCCAAAAAATACACTTTATTTTGCACTCTGAATTGTTTAGTAACCAAAATTACTAATGCTATATGTATTTTTGTGACTGCATTTGCTAAAAGGAAAAGTCTAGCTCCTTTTCATACAGTTCTTTGACTTTTTTCTTTACTTTGTTAATAAAATATATTTTAAGACTCGGTCACAACTTCAACAGTTTTAGCACATCCAACTAATTCTAGTGTACCCAAAGCTGTTACTGGTTTACCTTCTATGATGAAATGGTAAGTGTTAGACTCTCAGTACATGTGTGATTGTCTAAACATACAATTTTTATTGAATTTAAAACATGGAAATAGGAAAAGTAGGGAATGGGGAAGGAGTTATCAATGGAAAACCTACCTGATCAATATCACACATGACAACCTTCTCTATTGTCTTGTGCCTCAGTATTTCTCTGGCTGTAGAACCTTCACCTCCACCCATTATGAAAACAGCTTTGGGACTGTAACAAAATTACATTTATAATACAAATAATACAGGGTGTAAAAATAAATATTGAATTCATTTAATTAATTAAAATTTACTTTGGATGATGAATCAACGGTGGATGAACAAGGCACTCATGGTAAATAAATTCATCAGTTTCAGCACTCTGCAATTTCCCATCAATGACTAGGGCCTGTTGTGTGTTTGTATATATGTTAGTCATTAGAAGAATGTTGAAAAATGATAATGACAAAAATAAAAACAATGGCAATATAAGTATCTGAAGCTACCTAGCTACTTGTGTGTGTGTAATCAGTACAAACCTTTCCAAAGGGTTTTGTATCCAGAAGCTGAATGTCCTGGTACTGAGTAGCTCCAGTGTGTAATATGCTGTGGCAAAGAATTGTTTGTCAAATGTACATAAAACAACAATTACAGCCATTGTTAATGAAGGCCCTCATTGTAATGTGTCTTAGGGCCCATTTGTTAATCTTTTTTTGTTTTCTGCCTTATAAGACAATTGTTTTTACCAAATAGACAAACACCAAACTTTTAGTTTTGCGTGATAAATTGTGTAATAATCAAAGTAATTAAGTAAAACTAAAATTACTTTTATGGCTTAATTTGATGGAGGAAATAACTGTTTCCTATATATTTTTCCTTTTTATTAATAAAGTACAAATTACATATAGTCTTTTCGCTATTTAGCTGGTTCAATTGTTTAAACCATAATTTCAGTAGATTTAACTGGTTCAACCAACTTTAATGTTACAAAACGGGCTTAATGAAAATGCTCATGAAATAATAATAGTCGTAGCTCTTTACTCTTTTTGTTCTTGAATTGGAGTGTGTGTTCTCAAGTGTACTTTCATGGAAAAAGCATAACATCTAGAGAAAGGTGAAGGAAACCACCCAACTTTATTTCTATGCAGATGCACTTTGTTTGTACTGAGACAAGAGGAATGCTTTTTTACACCAAGACATAGTGCGAGTTGTTCATAAGTCACACTTTTCCTTATGTGAAGGACATGTTGTAGTGATACACAACAGTGGTTTATGTTGGTCAAAAATACTACTCCGTCCCATAAAATTCTTCTCACTTTGACTTGGCACGGCAGATAAAGAAAGTGGAATAAAGTGGAAATGTATGGTTGTGGTTGTGTAAGAAAAAGGTGAAATGAATGTGATCCACACAAATTGTCCAAAAATGTTAAGTGGGGAGAATTTTTTGGGACGACCCAAAAAGGAAAGTGAGAAGAATTTTATGGGACGGAGGGGTAATAACATTACTCCGTATTAAAAAAGGATGACACCCCATTGTTGAAGGCTCAATTCCATGTTAATGCTTTGGGTCGAACTCGGGAACTCTTCCTTGTGGCACCCTCATCCTACCAGATGAGCTACGTCCCCACTAATAATAATATTATTACCACAAAACTTGGTGCACAAAATAACCCATTCAGACGAAAAATACTTCATTCGTCTCATAAAATTTTTCCCAATTCAACTTGAGAATAAAATGGAAATTAATGGTCAGACTTGAGAAAGAAAAAGGGTAAATGAATGTTAGTCATACAATACTTTATCAAAATGGAAATGTGAAGATTTTTTTAAGACATGTTTCCACGACATTGACTCGGCCAATTTACGTGGATCTTTAGTGAAGTAACAAATATGTCTCCACGACATTGGCTCTCTAAAAGGACTGAAAAATAAGCAGAGTTTATTTGCTTCTTTGGGGTCAGTTTGGAACCATAAACATAATTTGAATTATATAGCATCTTAGGGATCGATTTCGTCAAATCTCCGGCTCAGGTCTCCAACCACTCTAGCTCACACACACCAAGGATCAATACCGTCATTAAATTAAGAGGTGAATAAGTAAGAATACATATACTCCTCCTCGTTATATAATCAGTAAAGTATTAGAGAGAAAACATACCTATTAAGAGCAAAACACCACCTTAAGTCTTTGTCAATCTCCTCCTCGTACCAACAGCTCTTCCTTTGCCCGCGGTTCCCATTGCTGTTGAATTCACATCCCAACCCAATTTCACCCATTCTTTCTTCCTTTCTTGATGACAATAAATAAATACTATATCAAGGTTCTAGCTAGCTACAGATTTACTACTACGAAAGTATAATACTTTGTGCGGGAGGGAA